AGAGGTGCCAGTTCTCTCACTGCACTTCCCATTCTCCTGTTCTCCCAGCTTATGAAGTTCTCCCCCACAGAAATAGCAAGGCGCCTTCTTTTACTCCTTTTATCCCACATCATTGGCTTGGCCTCCCACAGTAGCACAGGGGCTCTGGAGAGAACTTTGGACCACACTCCCCCCCAATCTACAGAAGTCCAGGCAATTGGCTTGAGTTTTGCCTGGATGACTGACTGCATTCTTGAAATATGTAGGATGAATGCCCAGGAAGATCTTCATTAAGGAAACACTCTAAAAAGAAAAGTACTTCAAAGGATCTTCTACAGTTGACTTGATTCTCCATTGTGTTTTCAAACTCCCTTAGAAGCTTGAATTTTCTTTATTTGGCAAATGAACTGGTTTCCTCCTAGTTTAGATGCTAAGGTTGGAATTTAAAAAAAACAAATTAATTGGCTCATTGTTAAACCATCAGCATCAGTAGAAAACTGAAATAAACCTAGGCAATAGAGACCAGTGATTGCTATCATGATAGTCCCACAAGGTCAATAGCTCTATAGTCCTCTTCGTATTTTTTTTTCTTGAAATCTAAAACATTCAGGGGAGTGAACAGTCCTAATTTACAAGTAACTATGAATTGTCTGACTATGACTGAGAGAAATACATAGTGTGATTAAACGCGTAGTAAATGTTTTCTCTCTAACGTACGGGACCTCCAAAGGCCAGTCTTAACTCATTCATCCCCTCAGCCCTCAATTTCTTTAGTCCAACCAGATCCACCTACCTCTCCTTTCCAATTCCCTGATTCTATCTTTCCACCTCATAGAACAGTCTCCTGCTTCCCAAACTGGGCTTATTTCTGAGTTAAAGACTTGCAAGGCTCAAGGTATGACCATTTTTCAAATCTCTATCAGGCTGAGTTTTCAAGGATCATCTACAGATAAATGGTAATCACTGATTTTAATTGAACCTAAAAGCTGTCAGTTTCTCTTGTCTCAAGACACTTTCTTAGAGAGTGTTATGTAAAGCACAAAGAACTTTTTAACCACTGCTTTCCAGGTAAAAACTGAATTGGGTTCTAGTTATAGCCTCAATCTTAGACTATTAAATGATGTAAACATTCTATTCCTATATAGTTCCTATTTCCCTAAGTTGAAATAAAAAACACAGAAGGATTAAAAACATAATTTAACTTCTTTTCCATCACATAGAAAGATTATAGTCTTTCTATAAATCTTTCTTTTTTTTTTTTTTTTTTTAGCTGAGCCATCCCGCCACCTGTTGGCAGCTCACGGCTGCTCAGCTCGGGCTGACTCGAACCGCTGTTGCTCAGAGCTCAAACTCTTGAGCGAGCTCTTAACCAACTGAGCCACTCAGCCGGCCCTAAATCTTTCATTTTTTAAGGTTTTCTTTCAATGTGGTAATTTATCATACAACGAAAGAAAAGTATATATAAACAAAATGTGGTAAGCCCACATTTTTGACAGATGATGCTAAAAAATTTCTTTAAAGAAATGCATACCAAAGGACATTTGTTATTTGTAAGATAACAAGATGAAATCAGAATTTCATACTGCCTTACAACCATGAATATCTAATTTGTTATCCAGGCTTCTCATTTTAGAAGTTGGGAAATATTTTCAATTGAATGCCAATCTAAAAACAAAAACAAAAATAGTTTTATAAGAGTCTCCCTCACTTGATTGTATAACAGGCTGTAGTACTAAAGTGATTTCTGGAGAATGTTCTTATAAACAAAATTGACAAACTGTTTAAATTATGTTTTCAGTTCTGGAACTTCAAAATACCAATGCTTTTTCACCTGACTCTAGATTTACTTCAAACCATACCACAAACCAGAAAACACGGGGGGGGGGGGGGGGTCCTCCTCCGCGAATATGCTTCGAAATCCTGAATTTGCTCTCCTTTGGTAAATACTTCTAACATCCTCAAATAAAGTCACAGGTTTCTAGGCCCAACAACCTCAGACCTCAACTGAGGGTGAGCCCGGGCATTTCCGTTCCTTAACAAGAATTTAAGTTACTCTGAAATACCCCAACCCTGCATGCACGTGAGGACAAATAAAGCTAGAAAGGCATCAAATAATCACTTGCCCTAATCTAGTACATCTATCTAAGGACCTAGAAAGTTGCCATAACTTTTGTTTGTTTTTTGATATTTAAATCGCTACTTCCTAATAGTTTCACCTCCACCTGCCAAACAGGACGTCATAGTTACTGTTAAATCAATCTTAAGTACTGGTGCAGCACAGCTCTCTCCCCACAAAAAAAGTCACCAAAGATCCAAAGCCAGAATGGATATCCTGTCTTCAGTGTAACAGTCAGCAGTCCCTCCCAAGGGCAAGACCAAAAATATCTCCTGAGCCAAATGGGAAATCTTGACACTAAGGTCTCTCCTTGTAAGCCTTTTCTGGAGATGTGCATATGAAATGGGCTACAGCAGTATGTTACCTGGACAGGAAAACAGGATGGCCTTCAAATAAGCCCATTATCAGCAGGCAGAGAAAGAAAAATGAGCCACACCAGCGAAAGTTGGAACAGGGAATGTACAGAAAGCCCTACTACAATAGATGAGAACTGAAAGCTAAAATGATGAAACAGAAACTAAATTTGCCTCCTTTACAAATTTATAGGTCAGAGGGTGAAACCACTGACAAGATTATAACTGAAAGACACATGCTCCTGAATTACTAAAACTGTCTCAAGAAAGCGTCAGTGGTGAAGGTTTTGTTTAAAACAGCATGAATGTGTAACAAAAGCCAAAACCCAGCTTGATAATTCCTGCAATCATAAATTCTATGGATAATGAAATAATCTGTACCAGGACACCCACACCTATGGGAGAAGAATTAAGTATACATTGTCCTTAAGTATACATAATCAAAAGGATTAAGTACAAAGATAGACATACTTTCCATGATCCCAGGTCCTGTTTGAAGGCACTAGACAATTGTATACCTATCCTTCAAAAGTCCTGAAATAAATTAAAAAACTAGTCCACCTTAAATCTGAAAAGCACCTCGAGCTGCTAGGAGCTCATTTCTTGTTGACTTGAGACGTTGTCGTTTCTATTCTCCTTGTTAAAGGACACTAGATAAGCCAACAAGGGGTGATTAATACATTAACTAAAATGATGCATTGCCAAACTGTCTCCAACACAGGCTCTGAAAATCTGGATGACAGATAGGAAAGGATTAGAAATCCAATTTCCTACATGAAAGTTGATGGATTGCTTTTTTTTTTTGTTCTCCTTTGTAGGACTTTTCCACTGCCCTCCAAAATGAGACAATTTGAAAATATTCATATCTAGGGGAGCATATTTGAAGAGCAGAGAAAAGTCCCCAATTTTAAGATGTAAGAATGTATTGTAATCCTGTACACACAGGTTCACCAAATCAGCTTGCAATGGTCTTGACCACATGGATGCCTCAGCCTTGTTGGGGGATGTTTGTTTTTTTTTTTTAATTTACATGAAATTTCACACTTAAAATCCTACAAAGATGGAAGCTCGAAGCATTCTATCTAGAACAAAGAAAAAGCCTTGGAATAATCATTTGCAAGGATTTAATGATTTGCATTAAATATATTTTACACTAGAGTACTAGATGGTCTCTAACGTTCGTTTCCATTCAAATCTTCCTTAATTCACTTGTGACTTTACCAGACTCTTCTTAGAGCCTTAATAATTACAAATAGAACCTGAATGAGAAAGAAAATTCAGAATTAAAGTTGTCATCATTAAGCCTAACTAAACAGTACAGACAGGAGGATGGCAGCAGAATAAAGCATTTGTGAATTTGGGACAGGGAGTAGTTCGCAGGCCCATGAATAAAGCACAAAATACAACCAAGTCAGGATGGTGTTCGGGATATATAGTGGGCAATGTGTCTGTCTTTTGGGTGACAACTAACCCACCCAAAAGGGGCAGACTTTGGCTTCTATTATATGACAAACCATCTACCTCAAGTAACCAACCACCAGGCAAGAAAACACGTCAACTAGAGAGGATGAATTCGCTAACTTAAGTGTGAATTCTCCCTTACTGGCGGTTCTCCTACTTTCTATCCCAAAAGGGAATCCATATACTCAAATGCTACAAAGTGATACGACATCTCACCCCTATAGAGGGACTCCAGAACTTCTGGTCCAAACAAAGCCATTGTTTTAACTAGGGTGGGATTTCTTCTCTCCCTTCAGTAAAGGGCTGTGGCTGTTTGCAGGGCATTCCTGCAGGCTCCTGCTCTGACTCTTCAAGTCACAATGTGGTATCGCCGTGACGGATCCTTGATATTTAATGAGCCTTCAACTGAAAAACTGATGTTATCGGAAACCGGGAAAAGGAAGCTTGAACGCCCTGCAGAGTGCCTCAGCAGCAGCAGGACGGTGGCAATGCGGGCAGGCACCTCCTTGGCACCGAGCAGAAGTAAGCAAGCCTTTCCCCAAGTTTCCCTTTCTTCCACTAAATTAACCTGCCAAGCCCCCCACCCCCACCCCGTTCTATTAGGAAAAGGCACGCCCGCAACTCGCTGAAGGACAGGGGGAAAGCTCCCAGCGCAGCACAGAAGTTGGGTTTGCCAGGGGCCGCGGCTTAACCCTTCCAGCCCGAGAGCTGCGGCCGACACCACCTTCTCCGGGGGCAAACCCGAGCTGCCAACTTTCCCTCCTCTGCGCACAGCAGCCCAAACTTTGCCGTTCGCCCACCTGGCCGCGCAGCGGAGCTTCTGACCCGGCAGCTCCGGACGAACCCCGCTACCCCGTGCAGGCGGTGGCGCTGACCTTCACACCAGCCCCCCGAGCCCCGCGCCGGCCGCTGCCCGAACCCCCCACCCTGGTGCCTCCCGCTTTCTCCCCCAGTCCCCTTTCGCCGCCCCCAAACCCTCGCGGGAGACCCGCGGTGGGGGCAACTGCAGCCCAACCCCGCGTGTCACAACTGGCCACGGTCCTCTGGGCCCCAGAGAGCCCCATCCCCGGCACCTCTGACCGCCCACTCACCATTGGTGAAGGGCTCCATTTTCCCCCCGCCGCGGCTCCTTACAGCCGGAGCGCCCTAGCTTCCTACTCCGAGAGCTGAAGCGGCCCTGCCGACTGAGCATGCCCAGCACCGCCGCCGAGGGCTGTTGGGGAGGTGCCGCGAGGGGCGGCGCCGCTCCGCCGCTTTACGGTTCCGCCGCTCCGGGTTTTCGCGACAGCTTCAGAAAATGCGAGGGAGGCCAGGGGAAAACGCACCGTAAAGCCCCGAGCCTACTCCCGGGAGAATGGGAGGAGCTGGCTGGACCTGGGGGCTGGTCCACGGGCGGGGCCTGAACAAGCCCCGCCCCCAAGAGAAAGGGCAGCCCCTCCGCCTCTTCTACTGCCCGCGACAAAGTTCAGTCATTCAGCAAGTATCACGCCACACTGCGACCCGCCAGGGCAGGGTCCCAGGCACTGAGCGCGCGGCCCCGCGGCGGAAAAACACTGCCATTATTGCCCCGTGGAGCGGACATTCCAGAAACACGCAATAAACAAACACGGAAGATACACAAGGCTGAAAGAAATGCCCCGCTGCGGATTAAAGCGGGGTGATGTGATGGAGAGTGAGTGGGTCGCTAATTCGGATGGCGCGGTGACGAGAGGCCTCGCTGGGAGGTGCCACTGTAGAAAGATCTCGGGGATCTGAGGAGACTGGCTCTGACCAAGCCCCGAACGTGACGGCGCTGCGGGGCTGCTCTGTAGGGCAGCCCGCCCACAGCCGCGCGGTCCCCAGGGGTGGAAGGCGGGGACCCCGGCGGAGTCGGAGGCCACAGGGATCCTGTCCTCGGGCTAGTGGTTCCGGGCGGGGCCGCTACATGCAGGCGAATCACAAAACCCGGCGCTGGATCCGCAGGGGGACGCGGGCGCCGCAGGATGTAGGCAGAAGGCCAGCCGGAGCTGAGCCCTAAATCAACACCTCAGGTTCCCGGGGTGCCGCCGCTGGGGCTCTCCGCCAGACCCCGCAGAGCTAGGCCTGAGAAGCAGAAACTCCCTTAGTCACCCCCGCCCTCCAGCGCTCGCGCTTTGGCCCCCAGCCCCGAGCCACCATTGTTTCCAGTGTCAAATCTGGGCAGCCCCGGCGAACCTTACGGATGGAGCAACTAGGGGCCCCGTGAGCCCCGGGATGGCTCGTTGGGGGCCTCGCTTCCTCATCCCTTGCTGGGTGGGCGCCCCACCATCACTCTCGCGGCAGAGGCCGCGCCGCGCTCCCAAAGCGCTGCCAGCGCCGCCTCTCCCACTCCCTCCTCTCCCGCCTACCCGGCCCCTGCAGCAGCTCGGCTCCAGCTGCGCCTCCCTGCGCCTGCCAACTGTCACACGCTCCTCCGAGGCTGTCAACAGCAGGGCGCAGAGCGTCGGGTGCAAACAAGCAGGCGGCTAGCGCAAACGACCAGGACGAACAGGGATCGCCGGGATATCGTTTGACCGGCACGGGAATCCGAAATCAGGTTTCGAAGAAGTAAAGTCGAAGTGTAATATTGTATTTTTAGGTGACAAATGATTTAAATCACTCACTTCCCACTCCACTTGAAAACCTCCCATGGATACCAATCGCCCTTAGAATAAAAACGAAAACTCTTTACCTAACTCTGGGACTTCCATCTCTTCTTACACGTGCTCACGATTCTTTGGCCACAAAGGGCTTCTTGCAGTTCCTGGAAGTAACCAAGTTCCATCCAGCCTTGTTAACCATTGCTCTTGCATACCGTCGTGCAAGAACTGTTACTGCTGCCTGGTATTTTGCCTGTTGGTTCCTTCTTGTCGTTTAGATCTCAGCTCAAATGTCACCTCTGCAGAGAGCCCTTCCCTGACCACACAATCGAAAAAAGGTACAAACATGGCCTACTGCTTAGTTTTCTTGCAGCATTCATTCCTTTCTAAAACAATATTGTTGTTTGCTGTTTGATTATTATCAACCTCGCTCTCAAAAACGCAAGCTCCATGAAGGCAGCAGAGTCATTATCTTTTTAAAGGGTTATATGCTTAATCTCTGGGTAAGGATGCAACAAATCATTTTTGAATGAGTGTGTGAATGGAGGCAATGGCATTTAGAGTTCTAGATCGCTTGCAATGTTGAACACCCAGAGAACATCTCTATATTGAATGGTGCGTTTGTGATCAGTACAGAGAAAGTGTCTCTATTGTGTGACACATCAAAGCTTTTCTCTCCCCACTGTGTTAAATACGATAATCAGAGACCTTATACTACTCCTTCACACCCCAAGGAACTTAACCAAAAATAGGAAGTGAGCCACAGGGACTGGTGCATCGGTGTTCAGATATTATATAGTATATATGCAGGACTGGTTTTGTTAAAAGGACCCCCACACATTGTATTGCTTAGGTAAGAAGCCCTTTTCTATGTTTTAAGTCATGTCATGTTCCTTTGGAGTTATTTTTGCAGCCAAAGCACTTAATATCAGAGATACTTAAAACTTCACTGCTTGTTACATCTCGCCTCACCTCACCCTTAAGTTAGAGTCTATTATGCTTTTAAGTATGAAACACATTGTCTTGTAAGGTTTGTCTTAAATACTCCATTTCTGCAGAGACTTGTGTTTAAAATGCTTCACCATTGCAGTAGTAAATATAGGTGGAACATCATGTCTTTCTGAGATTTCTTTGACAAAGAGGCAAATCATTTATCTTCTCTTCTTCTCTTTGCCAACCTCTTGCCTCCTATCCCACCCAGTCCCCCCTCCCCCGCCACACACACACACACACACACACACACACTCAAAGACATTAAGGACCTTTCAAAGACTTGTGGTTTTGTATTGAAAATAAAAGAATATACAAAACCAAAATGTTTCAGGGTGTCTACCTTCAAAAGAATAATAATGAATTTTGTTCTGTTTTATTCTGTGTTGTTTTTTTTTTGAGGGGGATACTATTTTACATTTCACTTCACAAAGCTATTTTGAGGAAATACAATTTAACAAATTCACTACTGAAACCTGTTACATTTCAGCCTTTAACCTCCTCCAACTCTCCCACACAGAACTTCCTCTTTAGTTTAAGGGCATACTACTTTAAGTTATTATGAAGTTACTATTCATTATCAGAGGAGGTAGTGGGATATTATCTACTACACCCATCTGTTTGCAGAATCCTTGCTCTCTACCATGTAACGTTTGAAAACCAAAAATTTGGAGTGTTAATTATAATATATAATAAATAGCATGAAAGGGAAAATGTGAACTCCCTGAACAACAAACAGCATTTATTTATACATTTAAAAAGGTAAAAACTTGGTAATTAACGAATATGAACATTTTTTTTTCATCAAAATAAAGCAAGTAGAATACCATGGATCAGCTAATCCAAGCCTGGATTTAATAGATGAGGGACCCGAAGTCTAGAAAAGTTAGATGATTTACTCGCAGTCCAGTGGCAGACGTAGACTGGAACTCAGGTGGTCTGTGTTCTAAACCAGCGCTCCAGAATTTGCTGTTACTTCTCTATTCCCACAGAGAAGTTAGGGTCAATGACAATCATCTATGGAAGGACTGTGGAGTAAAGAGAATTACAGCTAACTTCAGGCTACTAGGAAGCTATTCCATTAATAATTGATATTGCAATTTAATATATTGATATTCCATGTCAACTTTAGGTTTAGAATTATGAAACATCCTTTCTAATTATTTTTAAATAAGCAATAAAAATACATTAATTCAGTGTACACATTTGAGAATATTTGTTCGGCACTCTTAAATAAATGGAGGATACTGCTTGCTGCCAAGACAAGGAGGATCACCATGAGGTTTCCAGCTATTCCAGGCTCTGCTCAGTCACCCCAAAGACTGGAGGAGTCAATACCTCATTCCTTCTGTAACCCACTTGCAGCACACAGGCTCGGCATCAATTAGTGATGTTTGCAGTTATACCAAATTAAGCAATATTTAGAGTACTAGGAACAGCAGGATAATTATTCAACAGAGCCCTTATAGAGCTTAGACATTAACAGAAAGATCCAGCCAAATAAAGTGAAATGTTATCAGGAAGGAACAGTGATGTACAACGGGTTCTGATGCTTTGGAATACACAAGCAAAGCCCTGATACACTAGTTTAAACAATAAGGGAGTTTATCAGCTCACATAACACATCCAGAGATAAGGCAGTCTCCAGTCACCACTCTCCAGCCTCATCAAGAACCCAGTTTCTCACTCTGTCCGGCCTGTGAGCAATTTTCTGAAACACGGTCTGCCCTGTGGTCAAAAAGGCTGCATCAAGGGAGGAAGAAGGAACCTTTTCTCTGCCGTCTCTTTCTTAAGAGCAAGGAAACTTTTCTCAGAAATCCCCCACTAAAATTCTTTTTAGGTTTTATTTGCTGAAATTGTATTTTGTACATTTCTAAGCAAATCGCTGGAATTGAAAACAGGGTTACCACAACTGGTGTTTTAGACAAAGCGGAGTTTAGAAGAGCTGAGATTAGGATAACTTCTCTTATTTCATATGGAGGAGGAAAGGAGCCTTGGGCAAAGTCATTTCTTATTCAGAAGGGAAAAGAGGGGTGAAGCAATCAAAGTAGGCCACCTAAATGTCATGAACACAGATACATTTTAATAATATTTTGATAATATTTTTTAAACCCTGACACTGTATAGAAAAGTAAAAATAGAGCCCAAATCAATGCAATTCTTCACATAATCAGTTGGTTAATATAATTAGGATTACAAACCAAGACAGGGTATATTATTAAACCTTGAAATCTGACCTGAAAGTAACTTCTAAAATGGAAAAATAAATCTTAGGCAGTTGTATTGTGTACTGAGGCTGCTGTAAAAAAAATGACCACAACCTGAGTGACTTAAACAACAGAAATTTATTGTCTCATCATTTTCTGGAGGCTAGAAGCCCAAGAACAGGGCACCAGGGTAAGATATGTTCCAGGCTTCTCTCCTTGCTTCTAGTTCTTTGGTTTGTGGTAGCATAACTCCAATCTTCACATGGCATTTTCCATGCATGCATGTCTGTGTCCATATTTTCCCTTTTCATATGAACACTAGTCACATTGGATCAGGGCCCACACTACTGCAGGGTGACCTCATCCTAACTAATCACAACTGCAACAACCCTATTTCCAAGTAAAGTCCCATTCTGAGGTGCTGGGGCTTACAACTTCAACATAAAAATTTTGACTGGGCATAATTCAACTCATCATAACAGCATCTTTCTAACAGAAATAAATTTGAAGATAAGTGTCAAGAAAGAGTTGACATCCATGGATAGCATCAAGAAGTAAAACACTCACGAAATGGCAGAATATATTTGCAAATCCTTTCCTTCCCAAGGGATTTGAATCTAAAATATATAAAGAACTCTTACAACTCAATAATAAAACACAAACAATCCAACTAAAAATGGGCATAGGATCAGAATAGACATTTCCCCAAATAAGGTATACAAATAAGCACATGAAAGGATGTTCAATATCATTAGTCAACAGCGAAATGCAAATCAAAACATAGTGATGTAGCGCTTCACAGTATGGTGAGCCACAGGCATAGGATGGCTCGAATTAAAAACCAGATAATGATAAATGTTGGCAAAGATGTAGAGAAATTGGAAACTTTATACACTGCTGTGGGAATATAAAGTGGTGAACTGTGCTAGAAAATGGTCTGACAGTTCCTCCAAAGGCTCAACAGAGAGGTGCCATAGGATCCAGCAATTCCATGCCTACATATTAATATATACCCAAAAGAATTAAAAATTTATGTCCACACAAAAACTTGTACGTGAAGGGCTGGCCAAGTGAAGTGAGTGGCACGTTGATTAAGAGCTGGCTTGGGACGCCAGAGGGCCCCGGTTCGGATCCCACATATGAGGGCCAGTGACACTGCCCTCCACAGCTAAGATGCTGAACAACAGCTCAACCTGGAGCTGGGCTGCCATGAGTCACCCGCGACGGCGTAGGCTGCAGCCCCTGCTGCAGTGGGTTGCCATGGGCTACCGTATATAGCCAGCAGCCAGCGTGAGCGGTCAGCAGCCAGCGCGAGCGGCCGTCCAGAAGCCGGCGACTGATCTGCCTCGCCCGGGAAGAGCGCAATGATGGTGCCA